CCCCCCCCCCCTGCACTGGGGACCCCGCAAACTGTACAGTGACCCCCTCCCCAAGCACACAGGGGACCCCAAAACGACCCCAAAACCCCTCAAATCCCCGGGGACCCCCTCAAAAGCCCCCCCTTACCCTCGGAGCTGAGCTGCTCGTACTCATCCGACACCATGTGCAAGGAACCCCCCCTGCACTGGGGACCCCCCAAACTGTACAATGACCCCCCCCAAGCACAAAGGGGACCCCAAAACGACCCCAAACCCCCTCAAATCCCCAGGGAACCCCTAAAATCCTCGGGGACCCCCTAAAAACCTCCCTTTACTCTCAGAACTCAACCTTTCGTGCTCACCCGACACCATGTGCAGGGACCCCCCCATTGCACTGGGGACCCCCCAAACCGTACAATGACCCCCCCCCAAGCACACAGGGGACCCCAAAACGACCCCAAAACCCCTCAAATCCCCGGGGACCCCCTAAAAAGCCTCCCCCTTACCCTCGGAGCTGAGCTGCTCGTACTCGTCCGACACCATGTGCCCGCACAGGGGGAACTCGTCCACCTTCGCCTTCTTCCTCCCCAGGTCGAAGATGCGGATTTTGGGGTCTGGGGGGGAGGGACACGGGGGGTTGGGGGTCAGTGAGGGGCTTTAAGGCCGTTTTTGGGGGGGTTTCAGGGGTTTAAACTCACCAGGGACCCCCCGGCAGAAGCGGGACTTGGGGTAGGGTTTGTTCTTGCAGTACCGGTAACTGTGGGGGGGGGGGGAAAAAAAGGGGGGGGGGGGGGGTGGGGGGACCCCCAAACCCTCCCAGATCCCCCAAAACGCACCCACCCCACCCCCCAGATCCCCTTTTTAAACCCTAAACGACCCCATCCCCAAAACCCCCTTTTTAACTCCTCCTGGATCCTCTTTTTAACCCCAAAACGACCCCCCAGAGCCCTTTTTTATCCCCAAACGACCCCATCCCCAAAACCCCCTTTTTAACCCCCCCTGGACCCTCTTTTTAACCCCAAA